AACACATTTTCGTTTCGTTTTTTACAGAACCTTTGTAGATGAGACTAAACGTCGTGTCCCACTTAGTTTTACGTATAAGTTGCAGAGCAGCCAAAGCAGGCCTTGGCGATACCCAATACAACTGACTTCTTTGGTTGTATTCTTACCATGCTATGACAACTTGGGTTGCATGTCCATCGAAATTCAAGAGGGTTTGTAATTTCCAGAGTGAAGGATGCGAGACATGTAGAGAGTCTCGCACGACGCATGATTGTCATAGATTCAGAAGCCTCTTTTCAAATAGTGAATTTGATTGCGCTCGCACTATTAGCAGGATTAGTTCACACCCTAATTTTTATCTGGATGCGATCATGAACGAGTAACACCATGAACTGGAAGTCAAGTTGTAGCCCAACTGATCAGGTATCGCTTTTTGGTGTTTGCCTTCTGATCTTATCTAGTTATTCAAAGCTTTGCGCGCGCTTTTAACTTCAGGGTTATTCAGGTTTCCCAGCCTCAATCTCGGCTAGTTTTATGAAGACGGACACTTTTTAGTTAGGTCATCCAGCTCCTTTTCGGCTGTCTCATTCTTCCACAGACCATAAATTGCGGTGCTTTGAAGGAAAACAGCTCACTGTTGTATACTTCTGATGTGTTTATTTACATCTACTTTTTCTCTTCGAACCGACAGTCTAAGCAAGTGGTTTGCGTGAGCTTTCTTCTTGGGAACTGTTGCAGTCTCATTGCATTTCGAGTCTGATTCAACTTCTTTCTCTATTTTTTCCAGAAAGGGCTATAGAGTTTGGTCGGGGACCGAGATGTTGAAGGTAGATCTAACCAACCAAGTAACACTCGTCCCTTGTCAAGGCTTGGTAATCACGGATAGTGGGAGCTTTTCAAAATGTTGGGTAGTGTGTACCTTTTGTTCGAAAGGCTTTCCTTTGTAAGAAGTTGAACAAAAAACTCATGTGGATTTAACTGATAACTTAACTATTTAAGTTAATTGTGGATCTTACTTTTATCTATTCTTCTTTGAAAAAAAGGTAGCAGATGAATCAATGTTGTTTCTTTGACAATACAGTTGCAGGTGAACAACGACTGCCACCGATGTTGGAGGGAGGAGAATATAAACTTCCTTTTTTATCCAATGGCGAAGAAATTCGCGACACAACAAGCGAATCTATTGCCAGTGAGTTAATTATGACACTCGATCAAGCCCAAATTTCTTTTCATGGCCTACTAACAATGAGGATAGTTAGGTTTTCTTGATAGGGCCATAAGAATAGCATTATAATAAACCAGATTAACGTCCGTACACTGTCGCGCCCACAGTGGGTTCCTTGGTGATAAGGGCAAACGCTGGAGAATAGGAGCAGAGCAACCATTACCATTTGACAACCACTCTTCCGCAAATCTAAATCAAATCTCGTTTAACTCCCGCTTTACTGTTGAATTATATCTTCCGTGCTGAACCACGCCCGCTTCAATGCTTGTCACACCTATCAATAGTATTTGACTTACTCTTCTTCACCAATACTATCTTTTTTTCGTCCGGTTTTTTTTTTTCGTTTGCGGTTTCTGGACCTTCTCGTAATGGAGTTTATGAGGGTTTGTGAAAAACCTGACTCGAATAAGGTTACGCTCTGCCAGTAATGGGCGATTTTCGTCAACTTCAATTGTGCTTTGTACGCCTTAAACGTATACTTACACTCAGCAGCTTACTTTGTATGCCATCATGTAAGCGAGCCGATTTTTATGCCATCGTGTAAGCGCGCCGATTTTTGAGGAGGTTAGGGAGCATTACTTATCAAGGGAATGCTCTGCTCACTGTCTGCTCACTGAGAGTGGTTTCCCCGTTTCGTTGTTGGCAGGGCTCAACTTTGTTGATTTTCCATTATATCGACGAACGGAAGGGGGCTAATCCAACATCATAAATTTCCCTTTGCGTGACTACATATTTCGAAATTCTCTTTCTTCCACCACACCTCTATGATTAACCAAGTTCCGAAGGAGACGTGGGAAGCAAAGATCATATCAATCATTGGGAAGTTAAATGTCGAATTCAGCTCTGACCACGTTTAGTATTTGACCTCCTTTCCATCGCTAGCCTCTGCCGATTTTTTGCGATCTCCATACCGTTCAGTAAGCGACTTATGACAGTTACACTTCTGCTGTGCCGAATTGTAAGATCCATTCCCCACATTTTATTATCACTTTACCTTTCTTTTCCCGTCCGCATCTGCACATTTTTCTGATCTTTACCCTTCCAACTTTGCTAGTCTCAGTATACCTTTCCTCTGGTGGGCCTTATCGCAATCTGCGACGAGTTGTAGAAAGCCCCGCCCGCCTTGGGGACGTTCCGCCCTTTTGAGCCTCAGCTGTTTCCCTTTGCGCTTGCTTTATAATATTTAGGGCACTTTTCCACCAATTTTTCATTTGGTTCGTGGACCCACTCGTAACCGAGTGATGATTTTTTCAATGTAAGCTCATTTTTGTTAGGTTGTACGAAAAAGTTTGCCATTTTTGGCAGTTAGAGTCTCAATTTTTAATCCTGATTAAGTTTTTGTCAGGCTGCCACATTTTATACATTGCAGAGAGCACCTTTTTTTTGCTCTGAGCAAAAGTACTGTTTTGCAACGAAAACTATCTCTTTTTTATTTAAACTTTTGGGTACAACATGCTCAACGAGTGGGTCTGCACTTTTATCATTCTTACTCCAATTGGAGCGGAACGAGGCAGAATCAACCCATGGTATATTTTTCGTTTGGACTCGCATCTGCGAAAAATGTGCTGTGCAGCTATTTTCTTAGTTATAGTTATGGTTTGGAAAGCTTGCATAAGAATTTGAGGAATTGCTGCGAAGGTGTGAGGGTGGTCGTTGGGTATCAAACGTTGGCAATCATTAGCTGAAAGAGTCGAAAGAACCAAACGTCTTTAGAATTTTCGAGAGGGCCGCTAGGAATAAGGCAGAGTTTCAAGTCATATTGAGTAGGTTGAAAAGTCCGAAAGAGTCGATTTGGTGGTGCCGGAAAAAATCGCGGTTCCGAAGAGCTGTCTGTTCTTTACCAATTTCATCCAAGGAAAACATTGGTTTTTTGTTCGGATTGCGATGTGCAATGTATATAAGAATGGATTCTTCGCAATATCACATGAATCTTGGCTGAGTAGTTCATCGCACCTGGGGTCAAAAACTTCGCAAAGATGAAACTACCCTATGTGAAGGTTGTCGCTACCTCATATGCGGTCTGTGGCGGGCATAGCTCTCTGAGTCCAGGCGGAATCATTACAGTACTGGAACAGTATTTTTAGCAGGATGTCAAAATACTCTGAAACTTGAACACTTGCGCTCAGCAAGGGCCGCTAACCGACTGTTCTCCGCGATGTACCTCTCCCGACCGACCGCTAAACCAACCCCGCAAGAAATGAACCGTACAACAAAAGTCTCGCTCACTAGACCTCTTGACTATCCACGTACTTTTCCAACCGTCTGGATTGCCGCTTCAAAGGAAAATGCTGTGAAAGCTAATATGATGATGGAACGACCTTCGCCTATTGTAGCATTTTTTACGAACGAAAACGTTGTGTTAAGACAAGATTTGCAGTAGGTAGGGTAGGATATCGCCGTATAGCTGTCTGAAGGGTCTGTTTATTCATTTATTATATATTTTACGTGAAAGTGAAGGTGTAGGACAATGTTTATGAGTGTTCCTCAATGAAGAAAGAGAGAATCCAAAAGCACACTGATGGATATTTGTGTTCAACCATCTGATTGTCATTATAGCATTGGACTGCCTGGCTCAGTAATTGTTCATAAATATATTGAGTTGTAGGGAAAGTCCTTGCGGTTTTCAGAAAATCTTATTTTTTTAACCTGCTAAACGCCTGCCAGCAACTTGGCTCGTGCATATATAAGGAGAACGTATATGTGCAAGTTTCAGTATAATTATTAGCTATTACCTGTAGCTTATCACGTTTCTGCAAGATGCAACTTTTACAACAAACAGTTACTTTCATGGACCTCTTGCTGTAGGTTGATATTTGGCGAATCAACAGCCTAATCCAAACGTCGCGTTGCTGCTGCGTGTGGAGAATGTAGGGTATCCGAATGCGCTGCACAAGGTTGGTCTGAACGCTTCCGCGAGGGAGACCCAAGCTTGAAAGTTCCACTTATTCGGGACGTGAACTCGAAGTCGACAATGATCGTTTGCGTAAGCTGGTGTGGGCAGACCCAAGGCAAACTGCGCGTGAAGTTGCATAAGTCTCAGGTGTATCCTTTAGCGTCACTTCCGGTCACTGCATGGCCCTCGTACAGTGCGCCACTGATGTTGCGACGTCCGTTCTTCACACTAGGATGCAGAAGGCATATCTTTAGGTCACATTAAGGCCCTGCGCCGACGCTGGGTTAACCGGGTGACTAGCCTGAAGGCAGGTGTTCACTCTCTGAAGGTTATGATCTGTTTTTGGTGAGACTGCTGAAGGCATTATCCATTACGAGCTACTGCCGCGCTGCGCTACTCTCGCGGTGGACTTGTGCTATTAGAAGCTGGATAGAATGGCCACCAAGATCGCAGAGAAGCATCGAAATTGCGGCACGATCTGATTCCTGCACGACAGCGTTCGTCCACGCACTACAACAGTGACCCGACAGAAGCAACTCGACCCACGATGGGAAGTGGGAAGCCACTCACCGTACAGCCAGGAAACTGGTACAACAGACTACCACCTTTTTCTTTCGCTTTCGAATGCTATACAAGAGAAAACGTTCGAAGATGAAGATGACATAGATCGCTGGTTGCGTAACTTTTTCGAGTCGAACTCAGGGCAGTTCCTTGCTGGAGGCAGCCGAAGTCTGCCCGAAAAGTGGCAAAGAGTGATAGTGTGTGATGGTGATTACCTTGCTTCCTCATGTGTTTTGTTTCTTTCAAAAAGTCAGTAAAACAATAAGTGTCGAAAACCGCAAAGACTTTCCCTACAACCTATATATTAAAGCCGATGCAGGATCATGAAAATGGGCTCGGAAATTTTCATAGACCGCGCCCTGAAGCGCTCTATCGTTTTCACTATTGTTTCTATATTTTCGATTACGTTTCAGTTGTTTTAGTTTACTTCTTGTGTAGTAGGTGAATGTGAATGTAAATTAAAATTTTAACTTCAGGCACGTCGACAGTGAACTCAAATTCACCAGCAGCTGCAAATCGACTCTTATGCAAGATCAGGCAGATGGACGTCCCTTTAAGTCTTGCATACGGTAATGATGATATACTATATTTGTGCGAATCAAGACCATTCATAAACACAAAGCATTGTTGCCATATATGAAGCCATATAAAAAGAAGGGCTTAACAAATCACAATTGTGACGAAGATGCTCTTTAAATTGGAGCCACTTAGCACGCGCACGGTCCTGAGTTACCGCTTTTGGAACGGACCAAGCTAACCTAGCCTTCTATTCTTCAAAGACAGTCATTTGGACTAAATTCTCTTGGTAGATAGAACTGCTGAATTGTACACTGGTGAATTCCCGCCACTCAGTTACAAGCTAAATCATCTAAAGATAGCAGCGGTTGGGAGAGGAAGCACATAGAAGGTAGGGCTTATCTCAAAAAGCAATTGCTCAACGCCGAATGTTTTGTCCTTTCGTTCCTTTCATTTAGTTGAATTTCTTATATTTATGTTTTTTACAGGCATTTTCGTACGTCTGATGATGACGAGATGGAGTACATTCAACATTTTCCTGCCATGGTTTCTGCTCTTTTTCAGCACTCGTTTTGTTTCGTTTGTGAGTATAACTGTTTCGTTTTAGCTTCATTTCTGTATGTTCGGTATACAACGAATCCTCCCGTGTTCTGCGTTTAAAACAACTGAAGGAGATTGGGGAGGGAATTGCCGATGGGGTGGGTCTTTGATGCGCTTTTGGAGAATTTCGGGTTTATAGAACACGCTGATCATGTTCAAGGCGCGTGACTACAATCAAGAAGGGCAGAAAGGTCATGGTGAGATGGAGGCGATAGGGCAGAACAGTTTCAAAAACTCTGTAAAACAAACTTGGATAAACGAAGGAGTGATGTCAATGAAGTATTGAAGTGTAGAAGTTTTCGAGGAAAATGAAAATCAAAGGGCGATGGTACATTATCTGGAAGCATATCGTATTTCACTTTGGTGATGGTCAAATGGTGCATTTTCCTTTCCGTCTCCTGTCTCTGAAATCAAAGGGCGAATTCGTAACCGGCCAGTGTCCATTTATGTACCTATGGGATCTGGGAAGCCAGACGGTTCGCTTTAAATGAGACGATCATCAGTTAGCTCCTTGGTTCTCAAGACTCTAGAAAAATTTAGCCTGATGCGCATGCTGCTTGTCAACACTTGGTCAACTTTTTTTTCGCACAGATATTAAACAAACAGTTGTAAGGAAAGCGATGGATCCTGCGAACTCTCATGTATGGCTTTCTTTCCTCAATTTTACCTTTTCTTGGGAAGGAGGTAACTCATTGCCATATGGTACGGTAGGGGTAGAGTGTGAGTAGTAGAGGGTGAACTAGAAGGAATTGAGGGGTGCAAATAGCCGAACGAGAGTAGCACTGAATGGGGGAGTGAAACCCTTATGCAATGCTGTTGTGCTATGCAGCTCCTTGTGGAGTTCTTTTGCTGTCAAAATTTGTAAAAGTGTTCCAGGTTCGAGATGGCACCCATTTCCTGAATGATATGAAGACCACTTTGCAATCACAGAACCTGACGGCTGTGGAAGGTCTGATCAAGCGAAGTCGTACGTTCCTGTTTCTTCTTATTCCTGTTGCAACATACCAAGGGCGGCAAAAAGAGCCTTGCTTATGACACGCATTAGCAAACTTCACTGAGCTCGTCGTGCACTGTACTCGACGAGCTCTAGTCCTATCATTAATTGCTTCGGCCTACAGCCGTTGCTCAATTTCCTCGCTTGAATCACTGATGCAAATCTTCGTAGTCGAATGCCACTGCTAACGTGCAGGAGATATCGCCGTTGTTGTTCACAATTTCGGTGCACTGCTGGCTTAGAGGTCGACGGTCAAGAGTCGGCTTGAGCTGTATTGTGGGCCGGAGCACCCTAGAGTAATAAAACTCCAGGTTATGTGAAGAGAAAGCTAATGTTTTAGGTAACTAAGCACTGGCACGGCCCGAAAGCGCCCACCCACCTAGATAGGATCGAAAATCGTTAAGAACCTGAAAAAGACGGCTTCCTCGACTTTCTCAGTCGCAGAATTAGGCAAAGTGCATTTAGAAGCTCAAACTTGGCATCATGTTCGCCTAGGGGGATCTTTTGTTGTCGTACATTCCGAAGGCTGTGACATAAAAACGAAGGTGGATAACAAAGACGATTTTTTGCTCTCCTCTGCGCCGTATGATAAGATAATTTGATCTTCTGAACAGTATGAATTCATTGTAACAACCTTCAACAAGTATTTTTTCGCTTCAGAGAGCTGTTGAGCTTGAGCTTTTGGAATTAGCTGGATCACTTCCAAGAGTTCGCTACTACAGAGTGCAGACGAGTTGTCGAAATGATGGAACCGATCAGTACAGTATTGCAGTACTTGAAGCAACTGTCGCAGCAGGGTTTTACTCCAAACACTAATGTTAATGATGCGCAACCCCCATAAGAACAAAAAAATGTGACTGAACAAAAAACTCAGCATCTGTCGCTCTGTTGTCGTCTCTTAAAGCGCCAGAACAAGGAGCTGAACATAATCGAATATGCTATTGCTCAGAATTTCTCAATCCCATCTGCCTGATTTGCAGCACTATTACTTCGAAGCCGTTCAGCTCCCTTTCTAGCGGCTTTCGAAGGTGAGTGTTTTGTTCAGTCACAATTCTGATGTTCTTGACTAGTTTCACACCATTAGTGTCGAAGGTGAAAATCCTCCTGAGACTGGTGCCTTAAGTTCGCCTGTCAATCAGTCCCATTCTCGAACTCTTTACCTGACTATCTAGTTCGATGATGTGAACCATCTGATGTGATATAATGAGGTGAGGGGGTAGGTGGCAACATCGTTCACCACTATTTCATTCCACTCGTGCACACGCAATATCTTGATACGCTTATAGAATTCTGAATGCGTACTTGACCGAAGCGTCAAAATTAGGGTAATTATTAGCTAACGTTCGAGCTCTTCGACTCCGTCAAGCCTACGAAGACAAAAAAAAATGGACTTGACCGCTCAATACGCCTCCAAATACTGGATCCCATTCCATTAAGCCTATAAACAACCTAACGGTATATGATGATGAAGATACACCGGACTATTTGATCAACGCCGCGTGATCAAGGGCGACGAACCTTGAAGACTTAGCTGTGCTACTTGAACACCGACCACCATCGCACACCTCTGACATCACTCGACCTGACCTATCAATGTAATCAGAACCCGCAGGATTTCGAAGAAGGGCGCGATCTCACGGTATTGCTAAACACTCCACTTGCTATGCATTTGAAGGTACTCTTGGCGTAGATCTTTTCATTATTTCGTTTTTATGGTCATTTTAACACTGGACAAGCGCAGTTTACGCTTTTTTCGGATCAAGGTGAGCAGACCGCTCAATAACTTCGTATAGCATACATTATACGAAGTTATACGACACAAGACCATCTTAGCAATATTCAAGCGTAGAACTTAATCGGCGATATAGTGGTGGAATTCTGATCAAACGAACGTGTAATGATAAGCGAATACAAATTACTGCATACCTTGTGGTAGATATCAAATTATTTTTGACATGGTTGTGCCGAGAAAAAACATTTGTACCTACCATGATCTTTTCTTCATAGGTTTTTCTATCTACTAATCTTTTACAATATTTAAATTGTCATGAGAACATGACGAAAATGAGGAATAAAGCGAACTGCCGATCCTTGTTGCTTGAAAAAGCTCTGTCCAAAGTCTAACTATTTCATAACGGTAACCGTGTGTCTCCAGTCATTGTGTATGTTTAACGGTCATCGATCAGTGTGAATCCATAGAATGATACAAAAAACATTTGGATGAACCCAGTGCTAATGCGAAGAAAAAGGAATAACTTGACATTGTGATCAGCGTCATAATGCGAACAGGTGTGCAAAGTGGGAGGCTTCACCGCGTCGCACTGTCATTAATGTGTCAATTCTTGCTGATCACCATGTATTTATTGCTTGTTACATTTTGCCTCCAAAAAGGGAAAAGAAAACATGCATGGATCGCCTATGCTCTGCACCGAAAGCAACCAGGGTCAGGCGCAGTGGAGGCTTTCCACATACAAACTTCTCTCAGCCAACTGTGTCGTTATGCAAACGGGCTCTCTTCGAAGCAATTTGATCGAAATTTCGAAGAGTTCTAAGTGGAATTCTGCCTGACTTCACCTAGGAGTGCATACCTTGCTTCGCTGGTGCGAGGTCATCGTTTCGGATCATTATGCGAACGCTCTGCTGTTTTCCTTTGGGCGATCTCGTATGAATCCAAATCTATTCAGTAATTTTATCGGTTCACTTTCTTATTCGTCCCATTAACAGCCTAACCAAAGGAAAAACCTTTATTTACGCTTTTCTCGAAGAATTGTCCTTCTAATGTGATGTATAAAGTTCGTGAATTAACCTCTGCTATAAGAAACGTCACCAAACTATTAGTCGGTACATAATATGTTTGAGAACTTTGGTTTTTTTGACTTAATTTACTTATATTTATCTTGATGTTTATTCAGCACAGGTAGTATACATCACCATTATTACCAACATATAACCAATGCGAGGGTGGGTATTCAGTGTCCCTCTTATAGAATTTCATAGAGTTCTGATCGAAGAAATATTGGATGTCGATTTTGACTTTATGGTGATTCAAGTGAGATTTCTTCTCCAGAAGGTGATTGAGAGAGGAGAGCGGATAGTCGTTCGTTGACGCAGGATTAGTGCTATAAGGCGGAGCTAAAAGAACTGACCGCCCGAGAGTCTCCAATTTTTTAGGAATTTTCTTAGCAAGGCGGGCTCGAACGACCTCAGAGAAAAATAGATTTTGTCTTCCTTTGCTTTCAAGTTGAAGGCGTTGCCATCAAGCTGTCAACGATTCTTCCCATCACTGACACTGGTATTAGTTGATGCCGGTCTTCAGCGCAAAGGCCCTCCCGTATTGCGCCAACGACTCAGGAAGTTCGAATCAGAGGGAGTTGGGTTTGTACTGTCAGAACTCCCGAATCGTTTGAGCAAATCTACTGCGGCTCGTGGATTTTTTAGCACATTGCACCCAGTCCACATCCCAATGAGGATTATAATGTCACTGAAGAACTAATAGAACCTACAGGAATTGATGATGTCGATGAGTAGAAAATGATGGACTACAGCATTTATCCTTAGAATCAGAACTCTATGAAATTCCAAGAGAGGCACTGCAAATACCCACCCTCGCATTGGCGATATGTTGTTAATAATAATGATGATATACTATGCTGGATAAGTAGATCAGAGAAATAAGATAAGTAATAAATCGAAAAACACCAAAGGTTCTCAAAAATTGTGGACCGACCTAATACTTTCCGCGTTTCGACACATATGTCGAGTAAAAAGGAGCTCCTCGCGTGCCGGGAAGGAAAGGTGCGTTGAAATCATGGCTAACACTTTGGCCCTTTATTCAATTTTTTGACATTTCAGCAATTTTGACCATTGTAATAGCGACCATGATGTGGTCTATTTCAGATCTACGTTCACTTTCTCCAATTGTTCACATCATCACGTCTCATCGTCATGGTTGCTGCCTTCCTCGTTACGCACTCCATAGTCATCTTTATGCATGGAACATAATGAACCATAGACAGAGTCCTGTTTCTCTTATAGAAGTGTGCATTTGGTATTACTGTGATTTCTGCAATTTCTTCAGGTTGACGGGTGTCTCATCCTTATTTTGGTTGAATAAATGCTATTTGTTTGTTTCGGCTGTTTTAATAACGCATTGTGTATCAGTTTGTCGAGCGTAGTGTGCGCTGTTCTCACTTTTGTCATATACTTCTTAACCGAATCGTGCCTTCCCTGCCATTAAGGACTTCTTGGTTACCAGTAACTTTCGTCCTGAAGTATCCTTTCTGGACTTTGACAGATACATTTATTTTTCATTGGTATGCAGAGATTCTAATAATATTAATAAAGGCATCGGAATTGGGAGCTTGAGAAACAATCGCCAAGAAGGTGTAAGAAAGAAAGCAGTCGAAAACACAAAATCTGTAGAGAGTATTATTGCTCCACGATGTGGAGGGGAAGAAGGGGCAGGCGGCGACAGATGAGATATGTAGGGTGATGAGTACACTTGAGTTTCACGACGCAGATGAGGTATTAAATCGTGGGACTTACCGGCGCTTAGCCCCTATTGTAGCGTTTCTAGAACGTATTTTGGTGACGGCTCCTCGTATCGCATAGTCCACGATTTCTGCCTCCGTTACGTGCTATTGCAACATTTCACTAACCCTGTCCTGGGTTGTGCTTTCAAAGGCAGTGATCACAATGGTTGAAGGAAGGGTGGTAGAATTTTGATGAAATGGTCATCGAACGTTATTGGTGGAAGGGTGCTAGGAGGCGGTCTCAGCCACCCATCGCTCCGCTCGCGCCTCACCACGCCCACCGAGAGATGACTCGTCGTCTCTGAGCATTTAGCAGATAGAGCGTTCCGGACGTTTCTTATAGTTTTCCTTCACCCCTGCACCACTGATCAATTCTTCCTCGATTTTTCATGACTGCCTCTCATCGTAAACTCCGCCTTTGAGCCCTCAGTTTTACCGTTTTCGACGGATTCATGTCCTTTTTTCTTTATCGCTGGCGTAGTTAACATCACTTCTTCGATTGTTGTTTGCGAAAACCGCAACATTTTGGTCGTGGGCTTGCTTTCCATAAAGTGTGCAGACACCACTTCCCAAAAGTGCAAGGGGCCAGCACATCAAGGCGTTTGGGACAAATTGCATTGCAACTCGCATTAGAAGTTTGCGGTAAATTATGCATGGGCGTGCACTACTCGAAAACTTCCGTTACCTTATTCGCAGCATCGTTGAAAGATATTTACGATTTAACGGATTTTTCTGGAAAAGCGCCGATGAAGATCCTCTTCCAAAGGACTTGGTTAATTTGGTATCCTCGTCTGGTTAGTTAATAACTGACATGCGCGGTTCGGTCATGTGTATTGCAGCAAGGTACTGGATAAATCCGAGGCTTTTATCGTATGGCTTCATTGGATAGTCAAGCAACGACGTTCTAAACTTTTTGCCTTGAAAAAGAGGCCGTATGCACTTCACTAAAGCAAGAAATTTTTCCATCTTGGCCGTTTCCTTTATCTTTTTTCTTCTCTCTTTCCCTACCAGATCTCACCTTATATTTTGGTTGCCTTATCACCTCACTGTAGCATTACCGACTCACTTTTCCTTGCTTCCTCTGCTCTACCCTTCGCTTTTGTCACACTTCCTTCATCTGTGTGAACTTTTGAACATTTCACTACTTCCTCTTTTTTTCGGCCCCGTCTATCTATCAGTATCAGTATTCACATCTGCTTGCTCCTTTTTCTTCTCCCCTCCGCCCCCCTCTAACTGGTTCTGCCAGACCGTTGCTTTCTATATCTCCTCTCTGATTATTTCTTAGTCATTCACAGTCTCTAATTCACTATCAGTCTCTGCTGTAGTTCTAAACTCTCTCATACCACTTGCCTGAATTTTTCACTTCACTTCCCCCCTTGCTTAAAGGCAGAACTACGATGAAAAAGCAACCCATTTCAAATTAAGTAAAAGATGGTATGTGTACGAAAAAGAAGGAAAAAACATAAGAAACGACCGAGAACCCGAGAAATGGGACCCCATCCTTGCCCGTTGATTTCCGCTGATGCTACTCACATCGTTGTGCCCTCATCAACACTACGCTCTCTCTGCTATCTGATCATCTCCGTGTAAATAGACTTGCGCGAGTGATTAGGTAGTGAGGGCGCTCCCCACGCCAACCGAGCTATGCTAGATCACCGAGGTCAATCTTTCGCTGCCAATAAAGTGTCAGTCCATAACCTCGGAGGTCCATGTGTCTCCCCATTGGGCAATTTTTTGCCTTTTCTTACACGCCTTCGGTTTTAATCGTGGAACCCTCCTCTTTACGCCTGCTTGTACTCTCTTCTTATCCCATTCCAATATCCCTTCTACAGGGGTGGCCAAAAAAAAAGAGACACTTCACTCCACATTCAAAACGGAATTATTTACGCGTTGCGAAACCAAACCAAATGACCCAACTGAATATTGAAGAGCACGTTATAATCTATCAACAAGCTACACAACAGCCTTCTACACCGACGACATCAGAAGATTTTCCCACGGAAGCATTGTGCGCGGTACGATCTCAACGAGGTCGTTGAGATACCATAGACGATTACGACGTCTCTGAAACGCAGGTCAAAAGCGGTTTTGCACATTCACAGCTAATGTCTCTGGGAAGCTATTCAACAGTTGATCCATTGAAGAAATTATGTAGCAGCTTCAGGCGGAGCGATTACGGTGCTCGTTGAGCTCGACGGTGGCGGCAAAATGACGTCATATTCCAAAGACGGTGGGGTGGGGGAGCAGGGTGAAAATCGTGTCGAGGAAATAACCGCCTCTTTACGACCCCCCTCCAGAAACATGGACTCTGATACGACCCCTTTTTGTCCTCTGCACATCCGGTTTCATATCAAAAAAATGCTAGTTTCAGATGTGCGAGAGGGACGCAGCGCCGCTGCCACGCAAATGCGGCTTGATCCAAATGCTAGATTCAATTCTTTCTTTCCTTTAAAGACATTTAACCTTTGCCACATTGGCCGGAAAGTGGAACATTGAAGGAGGTAGGTGCTGCCCCTACACAGTTGAACAGTCTCGCGCTCCAGTATAGCGGCGCTAACTACCCGCGATCGCGTCGCGCGCTGTGCCTAGAGCGCGCTAGTTGGAAAAATCGTCAAATGTACCAGGGTCCTGTCGTGTCCTTTCCAAAATTTTTACGACCCCCCTCCCCCAAGGTGGATTTGATACGACCCCCTTTTCGTCGGCTGAAACGGCAAATTTTTATCCTGCGCGCCCTCCACTCGCCAGCCTACTACCCACGAAATCTTAGTTTCACCTCAATCCCACACGTGATTTCGAGCGACTAAAGTGGGTACGACCCCCCCCTCCTACAAACTCAACCAGGTACGACCCCCCCGTTGTTACTCGTAACAACGTAGGGTTGACCCTGATGTACTCCCTATTTAAAGGACTATAACTTTATTCATTGATAACCATTTTAGAAAGTGAAGGCAGCTTTGAATGCACATGACTTCTAGTTTATAAATTGTGCTGAGCGTTTTTCTAAGCACGCCTTCTCGAGAGTGGGAGACGTCGAGGAATTGTCGAGGAAATTGAAATTTACATGCGAGTTCCCACTCTTTGGAAGACAGTAGCTGTCTTCATTGGCAATGCTTTGAAAATCGGAGGAAAGCGTTGTAAAGTAGAAGATTTACGCTTTCTGATAGGTGCTCCAGTTGTTTCGAACGCTTTCTAGTTCGCGAGAAATCTGCGTCGAGGAAATGTCAAGGAAATTTTCGAAGCCACTTGAAAACTCTATTACTCCCTCGCCGTAGTAGGGAACTTCTTTGAACACCTTCAAATGCTTCTGTACACGTCAGTTCGATGGTAAATTGAAAATGATGCACTTGGCGCAGATCCATTCCATTCTTGTATGCGCCATGCAGTGACCCCACTCGGAGTCATTGGGAAGGTGTTTTGTCCTAGTGACGACTTGCTTAAGCACTCCAGAAGATATTTCCAGTAATTAATAATAGGATAACTCTTGTGGTCATGATGTCTGATCATTCCTTTATTCAAATCGCTTCCTTTCCAACCCGTTCTGATGAATGACACGCTTGCGGTTGCAGGATCTGATGATGCCAAGAAGGCTGCGAATCTGCCTGTTTTGAACTTTCTACCAAGATGCTGTTCCTCCACTAAGTTCTCGAAGCATGTACATCATTCTAGAGTAGATACTCGCTGCCCTTTCCCTACGATTCTTTTGCAGGACGCGTTGCCTTCCTATGCCATACTGATCACTACGAACCAAACCAACAACCACTTTCCATTTAAATTTTGGCAGCAGCACCGTTGTGTCCGTTGATGAACCTTTGATTACGACCCCCTCCCAACTCTCATCGGAGCAAATACGACCCCTGTCGAGGATTTCCTCGACCGTTATTCACCCTGTGAAGGAGGGCCTGCTTCTGTTTACGGGGGAACACCTAAGGAATATTACACCGTAAAACTTTCATTAAGGTCGGCTCCCTGTGCGACGAAAAGTTCGATGATGTGCGCCATGGGCTAAGTGTCTCTTTTTTTTGGCCACCCCTGTACGTACTTTCTCTCGACGGACTAAAGCCCCTAGATATAATTATCTTTCTACCCTCTTCTTTGACACATGTATGCAAATTGTTCGCGAAATAAGGCAGTCAGATGTCTGAGTCAAATGCGAGCGCATGCTTTTTTGGTTTGCTTCGCCAGCAATTTTTGCGCATGCAAGCAACCGCTCTTTTTTCATACTTGAACGATCAGCCCTACCCCATCCAGTTTTATCCTTATTTGCAACACCCATGTATGCAGGCACTGAAATGTTTCGGAAAATCGTGCGAGGTTGACAGCAACTGCACAACTTCCTTCACGAAACCCTTTTTGTTAAATTTTCTGTTTACCTTGGTGAAGAAACCGGAATGGTGAGCTACGACATCAGCCATTTGTCATAACTTTCTTGTGATGAGGGATGTAGGTCGTGCAACTAGTGAGCAGGGTTAG